AATGGCATAAAGGAATGAGAAAAGCAATATAGAATTGTTAGTGCTTGATGAAATTGGGTGTGTCTTAGGGTCACTGTTGTGGGAGTAGCACTGTAGCACTGTCGTCCCATTGTTCATCTATTTGCTTGAGTGGGCACCAGTAAAGTCTCCATTGAGAGACTCGTTGTTACTGTTTTTGGCATACTGAATATGCCACAGGGAGCTGCCAGGCTCTGCCATGCGGGTGGGATACTCTCAGTAGCTTGCCAGGCTCTCTGAGAGGGACGGGGGAATCGAACTCGGGTTGGCCGCATGCAAGGCAAATGCCCTTCCTGGTGTGCTATCGCTCAATAAACGTAAAGTCCCCTGTGGGAGGATCAAGGACAACTCAATGTTATCCAACGGGCAACTATGAAATCTATTTGTACTGTGACTAGCAAAACTTAAAACTTGCCAATTATAACAAGTACAAAATAAAAACTGATACTTTTGTTCCTCACTCTTATAGGTGTTACTCAAACACTTTCTTCACATGGAAAAATATATCTTCTCAGTAAAATAAGGCTTAATCATAATTGATACAAAATAATTATATTGTTTTTCTTATTATATTTCAGTGATTTACTAAAAGAATCATTGAGGAATGATTAAGAACAGAGTTGTTAAGAAAGTAAACAAGACACTCTCAGCTGGTAAAGGCTTATGTTGATTAAGTGTCAGGAGCTCCATAAATCACTAGGGGAACAAGGTGAAGGTCAGTGGTACAATTGAGATTTGGTGTCACAAAAAAATACACACAGCTATACATGTGTATAGAGCTATACTACATATAGTTCTCCTATGCATGACTGGTGAGTAGTATAAATTTCAGTTTCAGGGCCCAGTAACATTGATCATTATATATATGAAAATTATGAAGACTGTAGATCCAATTCATCTTCAGGAATTTACAGGATTATTTTTCCCCAAATATATATTCAGAATGGTCCTTGAACATCAATTAACACTTGGTGGTTGCTATGAGCAAGTCTTTTGCTTCCATTTATTTTGGTTACTAAGGAAAGAAATCCTCCTTTATCTGGGTTATTCAAAAATCTTAATTTTCCTGTGAGCTAGTATAACCTTAAAGGTAAAGGTAAAGGCCCTCCCGTTGATCATTGATTTGCTCGAGCGGGCCCAATAACGTCTCCATTGGAGACTTTGTTGTTACTGTGTTTGGCATATCGAATATGTCACGGGGAGCTTGCCAGGCTCTGCCATGCGGGCGAGATACTCTCGGTAGCTTGCCGGGCTCTCCGAGAGAGGTGGAGGAATCGAACTCGGGTCGGCCATGTTGGCTGCGTGCAAGGCAAACGCCCTACCGCTGTGCTATCGCTCCAGCGATATTATCTTACATAATAAACATTTATAAAATAATACTCCACAAAAAATGTTCCACTGAAATCATTTCCAGTAATTTCCTAAGAGGCCTGGCAGTTAACCTTAAACTCTCCCATCCTTATGTGTGCTGAAAGTAGACTATGGACTGAATATGATAGCCACTTAGTATCTGTATTGTGAACTATAACACCCCAAAGAAGAGAGAGAGTAAAAGGGAATGTGCCTGCCACAGAGAAGAGGGTGGTGTGGAGGGGGAGGGGGGATCGGAAGGATACTGGGAACATTGGTGGTGGAGAATGAGTACTGGTAGGGGGGATGGGTACTTGATCACTGTATGACTGAAAAATTATCATGAAAGTTTGTACATCTGTAACTGTGAATCATCTCAAGGTGATTCATTAAAAAAAATTCTCCCATCCCCATTCCAGACAAGCCCAGTCTCCTTTCCTAGGGAAGAACCACCCTTTTTTCATGGGTGTGATCTCAATTGCCCCAACCAGCTAGTATTATATAAACTCCATGGTCACTTTAAGAGATCACATAAACCGCTTCCTTACTGGTTTTACATAATTCAAACATTTGCCTCATGGACCAGTCTTAGGAAACAAGAGCCATCCCAGAATTGTCATCCAAGGTAAGCAGGAAATGCCAGTGTAGGCAACAGGGATACAGGAGCATTGAGGAGTCTCCACGTCTTGGGATTCCTGTGTCATGCAGGGGTAGAGATCTGCATTTTCATAGGATAGTCAATTTCTATGTAATTTCAGGATTATATACACTCACTGTGAATTCCATTCATTCAAAGAGATTTGTCCTAACTTAAGTAAATTCTTGTTAGTTACAGATACCAATTTTCTACTCTTTGACCTGAAACTATGTGTGTGAGTGTGTGAGTGTGTGTGTGTGTGTGTGTGCTTGATGTGTGGACAAGGGTTTAGAGTAATATCTGAAGTAAGGATCTGAAGACATCTGTGTCTTCTACAATATCTCACTGAGGGTTGATTGTGTATATTTGGAGAGTGGGTTGACGAAAGCAATATAACTGTGGGACTAGTTTTTCTGTGAACTCTGATCTTGAGTAGAATCAAGAATGAGACGCAAGATTTCAGCAGGACAGCTAGGTGTGTGAGATGCTAACCAGAGGAGTCTATACAACTCTGCCAGGGACCAGGCCCCAGTGAAAGACAGAGGGAGAATGAAAACAAACTAAAGCAAAACAAAAACAAAAGACAAACTGTTTCAGTCAGGGCTGTGGGGGCTGAAAGATACTTCAGAGGAGTATTGATGGAATTAATTTGGAAGGCACATATAAAATTGAGAGATGGTGAATGTTTGCAGGTTTGGGGGAGAATGGAATAAACGATGTTTAAGAGGTGATTGTCAACTGTTAGTCCACAATATGAGTCAGTAGAATCCTACTAGTTGGTCTTGCTTGATTTTCTACACAACTGAACTAGAATAAGCCATTTACATTTAAGAAATGACGACTAGGAATGAGAAAGAGTTGGAGAGATAGGTCAAGCCATATGGGGGAAACTATAAAGAGAAATAGTACCTTGAAAAGATGGGGGGCAAGGGGGGCGGGGGGGGGGTAAAAAAAAAGAAAAAAAAAGAAAAGATGGGGAAACTATTCTTATGTACCTTAGGGTCTTTATTTTAGCCTTTAAAATTGGCTGTATAAGAACTAGAAAGGACTATGCTTCATTTGTTTCACTTATGAATTCAAGAAAATACTAATCAAGGTAAATAAGAGATACTTTTATAGTAATAAAAAAAATTAGTGACCCTTCTAAGCTCCTTTGGAAAATTCAGATTAAGACTTAGAATTTAACAGATGGAACAATTTAATAAAAATGTGTTTTGCAGGTCTTTGTTGGGTATTAGCAATATACTAATAAATTACCTGAGAAAGGAAAAAAAGAGGGGAAAAAGAAAGCTGAGACAAAGAAGAGTATGACAGAAGTTGGAGTGGTTAGAATAGGGGCACACAACACTAATGATTAAAAGGTAAAGGTAAAGGCCCTTCCGTTGATCTCGATTTGCTCGAGCGGGTCCAGTAACGTCTCCATTGGAGACTTTGTTGTTACTGTGTTTGGCATATCGAAGGTAGCTTGCCAGGCTCTCCGAGAGGGGCGGAAGAATCGAACTCGGGTCGGCCATGTTGTCCGCTTGTAAGGCGAACACCCTACCGCTGTGCTATTGCCCCAGTAATCAACAAAATAATAAGGGAAATGAATTAATTTACAAACCTTTGCCCTCTTCTCTCTTCCTCAGTATAATGAAGCAATCCAAGACACATGCAGTTTAGTTATATATGCTGCATATTTAATTTATTTTTTTTGTTTTTGGGTGACACCCAGTGTACTCAAGGATTGCTTCTGGCTCTGCACTCAAAATCACTTCTGATGGGGTTCAGGTGACTTTATGGAGTATCTGGGCTCAAACTTGGGTCTGGCAACTGCTCTACCCACTGTGCTGTCTCTCCAGCATTGTTTGTATACTATTTTCATGTGTAAATTCTATACTAGATATACCCAACACCAAGCCATAATATCATAATGCTCATCATAAATAAGAGTATTTTTACTGAGTTATTTAGCATTCCAAATGTTTATAATTTTTGAGTAAGAAATGCCTGTATTGAGGGCTGGAGCAATATCACAGCCGGTGGGGCTTTTGCCTTGCAAGCCGCTGACCCAGGTTCTATTCCCAGCATCCCATATGGTCCCCTGAACACCACCAGGGGTAATTCCTGAGCACAGAGCCAGGAGTAACCCCTGTGCATCTCCGGGTGTGACCCAAAAAGCAAAAAAAAAAAAAAGGCATGTATTAGGGCTGGAGTGATAGTACAGCAGGCAGGGCATTTGCCCGGCATGCGACCAACTCAGGTTCAATCCCCAGCATCCCCTATGGTCCCCCAAGTATTGCCAGGAGTAACTCCTGACTGCAGAGCTAGGAGCAACCCCTAAATACCACTGGGTGCGACCCAAAAAGCAAAAAAATATGCATATATTTATATCAATAAAGTTGTCTTTCTTACTGATATATATACTCTGTATGTATATCAGTTTCTTTGATAATTTTATATTCATATATGTGTGTGGAGAGAAAGAGAGATTTAAGTCCTTGATATACATACCTTGTATGTATATCAGTTTTTTAATTTTATATTCATATATGTGTGTGGAGAGAGATTTAATTCCTTAATATGCATACCCAGTATGTATATCAGTTTGTTTGTTAATTTTATATTCATATATGTGTGTGTGGAGAGAGAGAGAGAGATTCAATTCCTTGTCAGTTTGAATGGAAGTGATCAGAACAATTATTCCATGGAGATTCTTCATGTGCAGAATTTCATCCTTTCTTAAAATAATAGATGTTTTTGTCTAAGAGAACCAACTGATCAAGATCAATTTAGGCAACAGTGATTCAGAGTAAAAGGATCAGTGATTATCTGGGCAGTTGCTTCTTGACCTGATTGGATGTAATGAGAAATGGGTTTTTGGGGTTGGAGCTTGCTGATATCCTAAAAAGTATCACAGTCTCCTCAGGAGAATAAGGACTATGAAACAATTTTCTTCTCTCTTCTCACAGTGGTTGGAGAATCAGAATTTCTGAAAAAATATTTCATCACACCGATGTCTAGAACAATAGCATTTGAAGCCGCCCTGGCTGAACTCCATGCAGAGGCCTGCTGCCCCCTCTGCATGGATTACTTCAGAGATCCGGTGACTCTTGACTGTGGGCACAACTTCTGTGACTCCTGCATCCGCCAGCGCTGGGAAGATTTAGAGGATGTCTTCCCCTGTCCTATCTGCCTCCACCACTGTCGTGGCAGGAAACTCAGGAAGAACTACCAATTGTGTAACATCATTGACAGCATTAAGCAGGTCCCCATCAGAAACACTAGGCAGAATTGGCAGGAAGAACAGCTGTGTGAGAAACACAATGAGATCCCGGATTTGTTCTGTGAGGAGGACCTGGAGCCAGAGGAGGACCTGGAGCCGGTGGAGGACCTTGATCACCACCTGATCCCCACTGAGAGAGCTGCAGTGAGTCAAGAAAGAAGCTCCGAAGATGCACAAAGATTGTGAAGAAACAGATGGAAGTGGCTGAAATGAGTTTGGATAGTCTGGTTTTAAAATCTTTTGAAGTGAGAAAGCAAATAGAAAACTGGAAGGAAGAATTGCAACCTGAATTCGAAAAAATTCAAATTTTCTTGAGAAAACAGCAAGATTCAACCCAAGTCAGTTTGCTTTCGGAAGAGAAAGAGGTGGAAGAAAAACTAAACATAAACAGACACTGGAGCTTGGCCAGCTCCGGGAGCAGGAAGGAGGGCTGAGGAGGGATGAGCACAGCCTGGGCTTCCCCCCTGCCTCGTGCACCGCGGGTTATCTTATACATATAGGACTGGTTGCATAAGTCTTCAATTTTGGGGTAGATGAGGGAGATGATCTCTTCTTGTAACTCTTTGTAATATATCTCTGATTATTTTGCATCTATATGCCTGTGTCTAATAAAATATATTTTTACAGCCAAGAAACGTTTTACTTCCTTTCAGCAGAAAAATGTTTTAAAAGGTATTACACAGGTCTCATATCCGTTCCCGCTAATAAGTTTATATCTGCAGTGTATTTTATTGGCGGTATCCACATTCAACAAATTTCCCTCAATTATATAAAACCTAGGAGTAGTGATCTCCATGCATGGAACAAGGAATATCTCCTAAGCCCTACTCAGTCAGGTTCAAATACTAAAATAAGTATATAAAAAAGCGAAAAACAGTTCTGGATTTAGTTTTGATATATTTTCTGTATTTACAAAGAGAATTTGGACTAATATATCACATGCCATCATAATTACACCACTCACTAATGACTGGTCTTACACAACTCATTAATGATTGGTCAAAGACCTTTCTATGTAAACATTTCTCCTTCTGTTGACATGTCTGTCATAAGCAGGCTTAAAGCTCTCATTAGAATCTTTCTAATAATTCTTCAATATTCTATGTATTAATTTTTTTCAAATTTACTTCAAAAAAACCCAAAAATGCTAAGCTTACTTCCACACATGGAGAATATTTCTTTCATTTTACTTTTCAGCACTATTTTTTTTTTTTTTTTTTTTTTTTTAGTAAGAATGGTATTTTGTGGGCTCACTGGGTATGAGTTCCTTGGAAGGAATACAACTAAGATGGGACTGAAGAATTTACTATCACTAGCTCTAAAATAGGAAGGCTCAATACCGTCAGGTTTAGAGCAATAGTACAATGGGTAGGGTGTTTACCTTGCATGCGACCCGGATTTGATTCCCAGCATTCCATATGGTCTCTCAGGCACTGCCAGGAGTAATGCCTGTGCATCGCCAGGTGTGACCAAAAAAGGAAAAAAAGAAACTCTTAATACTCAATGTGGTCGGAGCCAATTTTTAGACCGAGGAGTTAAGGTCTGATGAGACTTTAACTGGCCCCTGCAAAGGCCTGGACCCATTGGAGAGAAGCTCCAGCATGATCAATGGTTGTGATAAGCTCATGAAGGTGGATCATCAAAAGTCTCACGCTCGGGGCTGGAGTGATAGTACAGCCGGTAAGGCGTTTGCCTTGCATGCAACCAACCCAGGTTCAATTCCCAGCATCTCATCTGGTCCCCTGTGCACCGCCAGGAGTAATTCCTGAGTGCAGGAGCCAGGGGTAAAGTACCCACTGTGCATCCCTGGATGTGAATCAAAAACAAAAACAAACAAACAAACAAAAAAGCCTCAGGCTCTTTTTGACAATACCATAGCAGTGAACAGACTTTTAGCCAGATAGAAAAGTTGTCTGCAGGCAGCTTAGGAGAAAACCTATAAAATTACTATAAAGTTATTTTGAAGGCAAGTGCTTTCCTCCCCTGCATCTCCAACTCAGGTATTGCTCTCAGCTCTCATCGTGGAGAGACTATGTTCTCTCTGAGCATGTTATTTTCTTTCTTTCATTTCTAGTAATCTCTAAATACAACTATTATACAAGCAAAACAAATGGTGATTTGGGGAAAATGATATAAACAAAAATTGAAAGTGGTTTAAGAAAGTATATCAATTAAAGCTTGTTGTTCCTGGCTTAGTCCGGGATTCTGTTCTTTGGGATCCTTCCTGACAATCCTTGTCATCATTTCAAGTGACAGGGGTCAAACCCAGGTTCTGTGTAAAGCTAGTGCTTTACCCACTATTCTTTCTGTCCAGCTTTTAAAGAGTTTCTTGATGCTACCCTGGAGTCTATGGAATTAACAATTTATAAATCCAGTCGTGATTGTCTCCATTTACCTATTCCTCATATTGTGAGGTTGAGAAAGAACCTCATATGCACCATGACAGGCTGCATTTCAACAAATGAGCAGTAGGCCTAATTTTCTCTCCGCCCCCCCCCCCCCACCATCACCCCAAAGAATTTCCTGAGACTGTCCTTGGCCTAAGATAGAAATCCCTAGACACCTTTTGACAGTCCTATGATAAGTAGGATATCTCTGGGCACAGTGGGTGGGAATGACCAATTAGCTCACAGACTTGTGACTGTTTCCTCGAAATTTGGGAAAACCGCCACCTTTGCTTCTATCACCATTTCATCATTTTTTCATTTCATCATCCTGTTATTTGTCGATTACCTCGAGCAGGCCCCAGTAACGTCTCTTTCATCCTAGCCCTGAGATTATATTCAAGGCTCTTTAGGAGAATGAGACCCATCATTGTTACTGGTATTTGGCATATTTGGTACACCACAGGGAGTTTGCCAGACTCTGCCCTGTGGGCAGGTTATATTCGATAGCCTGCAAGTTTGTCCAAAGTAGGAATGAGATAATAAGATGTCATAAAAAGATGTCCTGATAAGATGTCGAGCAGCCGCAAATGCGGCCGCGCGGTTCCGGGAGCTGGATTTTATAGTCTCTGAGTCTTGGCCGTTGATGGGATTACACGGTGCCAGGGGGCCAGGTGGTGGGTGTGACCCGTGGAACCCACGTGGCTTTGTCCCTCTGCCAGTACCTTCATGTGTGCGGAGAGTGGTCTCAGCATGGTGGTGGCTGGTCCTGGAGGTCTTCGGCTGCCGGAGTCCTGGTCGGGGCAGGGAGGAAAGCTCAACCCGCTCCACTCCAAGGGGCCCTGGCGATGGACAGCCAGGCGCGGGGGCAGAAGACTGCACTGCTTCTATCACCATATGCGATAAAATGTCCCCTGGAACTAGGGCCTGTCCTTGTCAAGACTCTGCTGCATTGGATGAGGCTTGGGCCCTAGCTGGAGCTAACAATAAAGATTCCTTTGCCTTTGCATTCTCACTTGTGGAACTGGTCTCTCTGTGAACGGGACACCCAGTACCCGGGTATAACAACATATATTTATTTTCGTCTTTCATATCTGCCTGCAATGTTTCGAGCAGGATGCAATAGCTAATTTTACTGAAGGTCCAGTTACACTGTCTCTGCAGTGAAAACCAATTCAAGAGATGGTGAGATAAGTAGAAAATGAACTTAATTGTCAACAAACTGGCTAGTTGGAAAATGGGAAATCCAGGTCCTCCAAGTTAACATCTTGTCTTACAGTCATGAGAAAGGGTTTTTGTAAAAAAATGGCAGGGAGCCACATCATTTTTTAGAAATAATTGTTCAGGGGCTGGAGAGATAGCACAGCGGGTAGGGCGTTTTGCTTGCACGCTGCTGACCCGGGTTCGATTCCCAGCATCCCATATGGTCCCCTAAGCACCAACAGGAGTAATTCCTGAGTACAGAGCCAGGAGTAACTCCTGTGCATCACCGGTTATGACCCAAAAAGCAAAAAAAAAAAAAAAAAAAAAAAAAAAAAAAGAATTGTTCAGGTGGGTCAGATTATCAATAAACAATTTTGGGTTTATTAAAACCCCAGTGAGGTGTTGGCAGCACCAACAGTTCTCAACCTGGTACTCAGAGGTCTTAGTCAGTCCCGACTCACTTCGGCACCAACCCCATTGACCAAAGAAGATAGAAAGGAAAGTGGCAGAATCCCATATCATGGCTAGTGGCTCTCTTCTCAATCTTCACATAAGTCATTTTCAACAGGTGAAGCTAAAAATGGTGATATTAAATAAAAAAAAATATATGCAACAAGTGATTGTACTTATTTTGGGAAATTCGCATAGAAATGTATGGCATAAAGAAACCAAGTAAAGTACCTACATCTTTGATTAGAGTTTATTATAATGTGTTTAGTAATATAAAGTTCTACAAAGGAACTTGGGTTGTTAATATGATACAAAAAAATGGATGTTAGCTGAAATTTGAACCTTTCTTCTATTACAGAGGCACAAAGAACAAAATCGCTAATTTTATTACTTTTTTATTTAAAAAAAACTATTTAAACACTGTGGTTTACAAAGTTATAATAAAATAGTTGTTTTTGGTATTCAGTGTTCCAATACCCATCCGTTCAACAATGTACAATTCTCAACACTAATGTCCCCAGTTTCCACCCCCAATATAGATCCCCCTTTATATTCATAAACATAAATGAAAGGTTTATGTTTTGGGGGGCAGGGGTTGTTGAGGTTGGAGTGGGTTGGACCATACCTAGAGGTATCAGGGCTGACTCCTAGCTTAGAGATCATATGTGGCAGTGCTCAGAAAACCATATAGGATGCCAAACTACTCTGATCACGTCCAAGGAAAATACTCCTCCCACTGTATGCTTGGTTGGCCCCAAATTTTCATGACTCCTTTTAGATCTTAATATTCTGGGGTTAAATATGATGGAAATTAATCTCATCAGTATGACACTGTGTGGCACAGGGTGTGGGTATTTTATTTTCTATATCCCTGATAACAAAATCTTTGCTATGATAAACGTAAGCAGCTGTGCAGCTTTAGCAAAGATATTTTATAGGTATATAGGCAACAAAACAGCTAAATCTTCATATACTGATGGGTTATTTATAGAGACTGTACCTGTTTCACAGGAAGCACCACAGAGTAAAATATTTTAACTAGACTTGTTTTATCCCATGAGCTCTGTGTAGAACAGGGGTCAAGGTCTGAGAGACACAATTAATTTGACACAGGAGAGAATCCTTCTCTCACTGCATGCCTCATACATA